AAAGACGGCCCCAAGATAACTCCAAGTGGCCAAACAGCTCCCCAAGGAGGCCCCGAAGAGGCCAAAATCGTCCCAAAACCTAAGGAAAATCAATGATTTTTGCTTTCTCGCCTTTTCGCTTCCGATGGCCATCCGAGGCCTGGAGATGGCTCCAAGATGGCCCAAGAGGGCCCCAAGAGAGCCCCAAAAGAGCCCCAAGACGGCCCCAAGAGCGCCCAAGAGCACTCCAAGAGCGTTCCAAGAGGGGTCCAAGAGGCGATTTTAGGGGCTTCCGAGGGGGGGCGCTAATTAAACCCCCCCTCTTGTTTGATCGACTCCCTCCAAGATGGCCCCAAAAGCGCCCCGAAGGCTCCCCAGAGCGCCTCAAGAGGGTCCCAAGAGGCGCCCAAGATGCCCCAAGGCGCCCAAAAAGCCCTCCAAGAGGCCCTCAAAAGACCCCCAAGAAGCTCCTTCCCCTCCTCCTCCTCCTCCTCCGATTCTTCCTCCTTCTCCGTCCTCCTCCTCCTCCTCCTCCTCCTCCTCTTCCCCCTCCTCCTCCTCCTCGACGACGACGACGACGACGACGACTCCTCTTCCATCCTCCCCCTCTCGGGGTCTGTGACAGCTTCCCCCGCCCTTTGTTATTCTGCATGCTCCCCGACTTCCCTGATCACCTCAACTCCCCTGAGCATCGTTTCTGGATGGGCTGGTGGGGATACGCGAAGCGTCAACAATTGAACTTCGATTTCGTATCGAAAACCTAAGGAAAATCCAAGGCGAGCTGCGAAACAATTAAGGAACACGGAGCCCCTCCCCAACGAAAAGGGTTCCTTCTTCAGGGCCCCGACTGTAGTCGCGCCGCCTCGCCCCGCGGGGCGGGAGGGCTGGCAGAAGCTCGGGACGTGGATGCCTGTAAGCTGGGGCGCGGTTGGCATGGCGCGCCGAGGCGCGGTGGGCCAGAATCCGGCGGCGCGACACGCGAAGCCAGAGCCTGACCGTATGTCGTCGAATCTCACAGTCAAAAATATGATTAAGAAAATGATCAATTAACAAAGCTGGGCCAGCGTTTCGGCAATTTCTTAAGAAAACGCTGGGCCAGCTTTTGGGAGCCAGGAACGTACACTACTCATTTCTAGGATCGAAAGCTACCGATCCCCTTAAGAAGCTGAGCCAGCTTTCCGGCAAGTTGGTTAAGAAATGCTGGGTCAGCTTTTCGGGGGGAGGCTTCTTAATCATAAGCGGGACCGTACTCCAGGAGCCAGCCCTGACTACGGGGGCTGCTGGACCCCTGCGGCTTGGAAAGAGACCATTCCGAGTCCGCGCCACATTCGCATGCCCTGACCTGGAAATTCGCCGGCCCAACGGGCCAGAGGCGTGCTAAGATCTCCGGTAACTGCTAAATAATACTTCTACTTCGCGCGCGCGGGGCGGCCCCTGGGGGTCCCCGGACGAAAAGTACCCCGGGCGATCCCCGGCAGACTCGGGTCAGAGATGGTTTTCCTCCTGGGCGCCGCCCCCGTGGCCCTCCAGAGAGCCCCAAGAAGGGCCACGAGGCCGCCAAGAGCCCTCCAAGATGGTTCAAGAGTGCTCCGAGATGCCACACGATCGTTCCAAGACGCCCAAGATGGCCCCCAGATGCCCCAAGAGGCTTCCAAGAGCACTCCCCAGAGGGCCCCAAGAGGCAAAATTCATTACTTTTCCCTAGGTTTTGGGCAGATTTTGGCGTGTCCATCTTTTCGGCTTCCCGACGCCCCAAGACGACCCAAGAGGCCCCCAAGATCGCCCCAAGAGGGCCCAAGAAGCTCCCAAGAAGGCCCCAAGATGGCCCAAGAGGGCTCCAAGACGGCCTCAGAGGCATCCAAGACGGCCCAAGAGGGGCCCAAGAGGGCCCCAAGCGATGCCCCAAAGGGGGAACACAAAATAAAACTTCGAGCCCTCGGCCTTAAGAAGCCCCCAGGAGGCCTCAAGAGGCCCCTGAGAGGCCCCCAAAGCCCCCAAGAGGCCCTCAGGAGGCCCCCAAGCGACGCTGAAGAGGCCCCCCAGCGGCCCCAAGAGGCTCAGTCATGCGAAATGGGCCGGCGGAATGAGCGAAGCGATTCAATAAAAATGGTACGCTCGCCATCAAGCTGTCTGGGGTCGAACGAGATCGTTTTCTTAGAAGCGCTGAAAACGTAAAGCGAGTGCTTCGGCCTAAACTGCAACTACTGCCTTCCATGGGGCGGCACTCCTCCCGTCGTCGCCAGACCGAGAAGAGGGGGAAGGAGAAGGGGAAGGGCGATGCTGATGCTGCTGCTGATGATGGTGGTGGTGATGATGATGGTGATGATGGTGGTGGTGATGATGATGATGATGCTGATGATGTTGATGATGATGATGATGCTGCTGATGATGATGAGGAAGGAGAGCATAGTCTGGGACAATCTGGGAGGGCACCGTGCGTGCATCAGCCGCCACTGCTGCAGTCGGGCCCGGCACGAGGCTTCGCCTCGTACCCATCCTCGGGGGCCCCGCCGAACACGTGCCGAGGACGAAGGTGGTGGGGAGGAAGACTGCCCAACAGCGCATCATCGCCTACGAGGATGGACGAAGACGAGGAGGAGGAGGAGGAGGAGGAGGAGGAGGAGGAGGGAAGAGGAGGAGGGAGGAGGGAGGAGGAGGGTCCTTCTACCCACTCTCCTTCTGCCCGCTCTGGCGCGTGGAAGGGTATCGTACAGGTGCCAGGCTGCCAGCGGCGGCAGCGGGCGCCACAATCGCCGAGGGACGCCGTAAGGCGGTGCAACATGGAGAGGAAGATCGAGGATAGATTTGGTGCTGGGTTCGGGAAACCGTGGATCCGAAGGGGAACAAACAATGGTATAAACATAAACTGTTGGAGGTCCGCGCGGATTTCTGGGACTGGCGCTGGAGCCCCCTGGCGGCTCCTCCGGTGCCGCCCCCGGCGCGCTCCTCGCGCCGCGCGGACCTCCGAAATCATATGTTTATGTTGTTGTTTGTTCCCCGAAAACAAGCCAGGCGAAAAATCCAACCACATGCAGTCGTGAGTACCGCAGTTGTGAGTATCGTCTTCGGTGGAGCTCCCTATGGGTGGTATGGGGCCACGAATCTTGTGAGGGGTGTGCCGAAGTGGCTGGGCAACCGCATGTGGCTGCACCAACTGGGGCCTTAAGTAGAGCGGCGTCCCTTGGGGCCACGAAACGTGTGAGCGCTTGGGGTCTTGCGTGGAGCTCCCCAGGGGGCTACGAAACGTGTGAGCGGCGTGCCGAAACGAAGCTGACGCCCACACGCCAACGTCGCCACGGGGGCCTTGGGTGGAGCTCCCTATGAGGCCACGGAACGTGTGAGCGGTGTACCGAAACGGAGGTGACGCCCACATGCCAACGTCGCCACGGGGGCCTTGGGTGGAGCTCCCTATGAGGCCACGAAACGTGTGAGCGGTGTACCGAAACGGAGGTGACGCCCACATGCCAACGTCGCCACTGGGGCCTCAGATGGAGCTCCTTCTGAGGCCACGAAGCGTGTGAGCGGTGTACCGAAACGGGCGTGACGCCCACATGCCAACGCCGCCGCTGGGGCCTTAGGTGGAACTCCCTATGGGGCTACGTAGCGTGCGAGGGGTGTGATGAAATGGGCGTGACGCCCACATGCGAACGGGGCCTTAGGCGCAGTTCCCGTGCGTGTGAGGGGAGTGCCAGAATGTTTTTTCTAGCCCTGGCTACGCTCATCAGCACGGAGCGCACCCTCGCTTGTCGATGCGCACATGCACACATGTCTACAATGCTTGGCGGCTTATGCACCACGCGTGGACTCAACCTGTCCCAATGCTACGACCGTGTGCCCAACGCTGTCACGGAGAAAACCGCCTCCAAAAACTGAGCCCGCCGACATGTCCGTCCCATCCCAGAAAGAAACGCCGGTCGAGAGATACGTGCAGGACGGGTCCAGTCGCTGTGAAAGCGAACGTGAAGATGAGCCCATTTCCCAACTGATGCTGCTCGACACAGTGTGCGCTACAGCGTTGTCGCGAGCAACTGATCAATTTGTCACGAGAGTGCCATCAAGCGCGCGCCGTTTCTGCGGCAGAGCTGTACCTAAAAGTAAAACTCCTCTCCCCCTCCATCCAACGCCCCCCCCTTCTCTAATTCCCCTCCCCCCACTTCCCCTTCCTCTCCTCACCGACAGACGCGCACTTAAAAAACTGTATCAGAACCGGTCGCTCCGCGCCGGCGTGGGAATCAGCCCACTTGGATTTCCGACGAGCACCAACGGGGCTTCGCCGGGCTTGGCGCTGAATTGTGCAGCCTTTTGAAGATCCTCCCCCCCCACCCCCCTCATAGAGCAGCGCCTGAACTTGAATAGATTGCGTGCGGGGAATGAAAAAATAGCCCCCCATGGCAGATGTGGACCTTATTTGAGGTCGCTCTTAGGCGTGGCGGGTGTGAACCCTACCAGCGGAGCTTGACATTCTCATCTCGAGGATGCTGTCAGACGTGGTGGGTGTAAACCCTACCAGCGGGTGTGGACCTTCTCAGTCTGAGGTCGCTGCCAGACGTGGCGGCTGTGACGCTACCAGCGGGTGCGGGCAAGTCTGAAGATATCGGGAACCCCTAAGTCGATTCCTCGCGTACGTACGTGATCGCAACTGCTCGTCACCAGGCGCACGCTATCAACAGAAACTAAATGCGTGAAGCCTCTAGCCCCACGATGGCGAATTGGCGTGCGCGCGTGACATCACGGCTCCCATTGCGTCACCAGGGTGAGGAAGAGGAGGACAAATGTAGGGACGAATCTGGCAAGGGCAGCCGAAGCGAGGCACCCAGTCAACCCTTTACTCATCAACCGATGTTTGTGTGACAATGCTCTGCCTCTCTCTGTGTCACTCGCTCGGGCCTCCCAAGTCGCTGCACCGCGCAAGTACGGTAGCATTCAATATAGCTCTACTTGGCAAAAACGGCGGATGCTTCGCGCGCGCGCGCGCTTGAAATCGCGCTGGCAGCCCCCCGGGATGCTGGGCCGTCGGCGACTCACATGGCTGGGTTGCGCCACTGCCAAATGGCTGGACCCGGGAACGCCTGCGCTCCCTGCTGCCTGGCCTGGAGCTGGCAGGAGCTGCCCGGCCAGAACATGGCAGGATGGGCGTGGTGCTGCCAGGCGTGGTGCTGGCTCCTGGACGTCTGCGGGCGAGCGCCCGCGGGCGCCGCGAAGAATCTGCCCGGCGGCTTCGGCAGCGCCGTCTGTGGGCCGGCCCCCTCCGCGAGGCCACCGGATGGCGGAGGTGCTGCTGGGAGCCCAGCGGCTGGCGGGGCAGCTGGCGGTGGCTGTCCCAGGCCCAGGCTGCAGCGATCGGGGTCGCTCTTGCTTATGACGAGCCGGCGGAAGTTCGGATTTCGGATGACGCCAGCGGTCTGCAGCATCGCAATGTTGGCCTCGTACCCCTGGATGTGCGCAGCAGTCACCTGCAAAGAACGGCTGTCGGGATGGTTTGGGAATCGCGAGCGACCGTGCCACGTCTCCTTGAAGGACCTCGTGACGGCTGGAGTCTTGAAATTCACGAACACGTACCCGTTGTTCTGCCCGGAGTCGAAATCGCACGGCATGTAGCAGAAATCGTAGCAGCCCTCGAAGCCGGACCTGTCCAGCTCGCCCACCACCTCGCCCTGCGTGCACCTGGCCGGCAGGTTGCGCACCATTACCGTGGTGATGCTCTCGGGGTCGCTCGTGCCCGCGACCTCCTTGATCATGCTGGCCTGCTTCACTCGCTTCTTGCGGCCGCGGACCTTGGCACCCAGCGCGGCGGCGGGCAGCCCCTGAGGCCCGTGCCCGCGGGCCGAGCCCTGCGGCGCGCGGGGGCCATCCGGCGCGCGAGCCACGGCGCCGCCCGCCGGCGGGGGCACGTGCTGCTCGTCTGCGCTGCTGCGTCAAGTCGGGCGTGTCCCCCACAGGGGGATTTTCGACGAAACATAAGAACTATCCCACAGATGCCCCAAGAGGGTCAGAAGATGGTTAACAACATAGTCCCCAGACTCTTCTTGGACTATTGTTGGATTATTTTTTGGTATTTTTCATTTTTCGTCGAAGATCCCCCTGTAGGGGGACAGGCCCGACTTAACTGTTGCGCCAGGTGTCGCAGACGGCGGTGTAGTCGCCGAACTCGCTGTCGGTGTCGGGATAGGTGATCGCAGTGGACTCGCAGTCCTGGGCCTGGGGCTCAGCGCTGCAGCCGATCGGCTCCTCGTCCATCGCTCCCCTCTTGGCAAACTGCTCGGAGGACATCGCCGAGTGGCAGGCGCCCGCGCGATGAGCCACAGAGATCTTGAAGGGGCGCGCGCGAATGGAAGAACCAGAGATAAGGCCCAGCTGGTTACGGAAGGGGCGTGCCAGAACCATCAGATCAGATCAGAGCCCATGGAGTCCTCTGGGGGTCATGCTGCTGAAGCCTTGAGACCACTAGAACTCTGGGGGCTGCCGCGCAAGCAGCTGCCCAATCACTCTCAAACCGGATCCGACCACACTCTGCACGAGGCAGCACCGGCCCATAGGCCGAGGCGGCTCCCCCTGGCGCGGGCGCGCAGCCAGGGATCGGAGCTCTCGGCACTCGGGCGCCAGGCTCCCCCCTCCTCCCACGACCCGACCCCCTCCCCCTGCGACTGCTTACCGCCCCGACCCTTCCCTCTGCAGGGCTGCTGCCTCTTGGCAGCAGAACGACCGGCGTGCGCGACGACGAGGGCGACGATGCTGAGGGCAAGGGCAGGGATGGGACGAGAGGGGAGGAGGGGGGGGGAAGAGAGGAGGAGGGGAAGGAAGAGAGGAGGGGGAGGACGAGAGGCGGAGGGGGAGGAAGAGAGGGAGGCAGAGAGGAGGAGGGGGAGGAAGAGGGGGAGGAAGAGAGGAGGAGGGGAGGGGACGAGAGGGGAGGAGGGGGAGGAATGAGAGGAGGGCGCGGGGCGGGGCGCTGCCCCTGCAAAACACGGAGACCCCACACTCCGCAAGACGGCTCGGGAGGCACGTCGCCACCTCTCCCTGGAGGGCCGTGCCTGCCTCCGCCGCCCTTCCGCCGCCCTGCCGCCGAGGACGAGATGCCCTGGGCCCCATCGATCCTTCGCAGGCGAGGGCGGGGCCCTCCGTGGAGCGCCCCCGCGTGCTCTTCGTGCCATTCTCGGGCCCCCTCTGGACCTCTGCACCTCGCGCTCCCCCCCCCCTCCTGGAGGCTCGGCCTGGAGCCTCGGGCACAGTTCCCGACGAGACCTCCGGAGGACGCTCGAAGAGCGTGAGAGAGATCGCGAGGACCTCCGAACACCTCCCTGCTGCCAACTTCTCCTCCTCCTCCTCCTCCTCCCGCTTCTTCTGTTTCTTCCTATGCTTCTTCTTCTTCTTCTTCTCATGCTTGTTATTATTCGTCTCCTCATTCTCAGGGGCGGCAGGGGATGGTCAGCTCAGGGGGCGAGCCCAAGGCCTGACATCGCCAATACA